CTCATCATAAACAAGTAGAAACCACACCAAGAATTGAGATTCTACAGATAGAAAAATACAAAAAACAACTTGAATACAAAAAGGGCCAGATACAAAATAAAATCAATAGAGTCAATCGACTCCTGAACGGCCACTATAATTACAAATATTTAGCAGCATTCCGATCTCAAGATAGAATGCATGCATCTAAAATATTAAAGGAAAATCCGACACTCAAGAAAATATCGGATTCCGGACTGATGAAACTATTAAAAAATCAAGACTTTGTTTACTCACTCATGAAACCTAAGACAAAGAAGGAACAATACCAATTAAAGATTCGGCAAATTAAAAATAACGTACAATATGACCATAATACCGAGTTGTTTGGAACAATTGACCAAATATTTGCTGAGCATCCAAACATACCATTACGGAATTATAGCAGAATTGCCTCATAAGGAAATTACCGGCAATGTTTGATCCGGACATGTAGATCGATGTGTAAGCCCAGGTGGAGAAGCCTCATGCTCAAATTAGGGGAAAATCGATCTACATGTGGTAAAACCCATGATTAAATTAGGAAAAATTTGGACCACATATAGGTGGAAAAGCAATTTCTAATCATATAATTAGAGGTTATGTCATCACTCAGTTACGCTTTATATATGAGTACAGCCAAGGGTAAACCTGTCATCGGACTTTCAATTATATTTTATAATATACAGCTAACCATCTATGAAGAATCTATTGTAATGATAGATTTACCATAGACGGCTAACTGTACACAAAACATAATTACAGGCTTTCCTTTGGTGGCACACACATATATATAAACTCGTTTAACAAAACAGGTTTACAAAAAGAATTAATCATATGACGGATAAAAAAAGATATCCAATCAAAAGCACGGATTTGTACAGAAACACTTCACATGCCGCTTAACCATGCACTCCGTTCCTGGTATATTTTACTAAAAAAAGAAGTTCATAAAATGGGTTTTTTTAATACTCTTTAGTCAGTTATCAGGTACTAAAATTCTATTTGTATTGTACAGTACATATCACTTATCATTCTTCATTACATTATTCTTAGTTTTGTTATGTTAGACTCTTCTTGTCTTTTCAGATCTTTTTGCATACCAGATAAATCGATAATCATATCAAAAACATCTGCAATAAGATCTTTTATCCTTTTATTATTTAATTATATTACAAAAAAAATCATTAGTTAATAGATAAATCACACATACTGTTGGAGGCTAAATGGGCGACAACACAAACCAAACAATCACCCAAAACCACACACAAACCCAACCCACACCTTTCGATATACTCGATTGGTAGAGGCGGTACGATTTGGCAAGGTAAGGCTAAATCGGGTATATTGTGGGTTTTAGTCAATCGATTTTTATTTATTCAAACACACTTGAATCATTGTTCTTTATTAGAAGGCGAAAAGGGCCCATTTTAATAACAAATTTACATGCGGGAAAAGAACTAAAGAAAATTAGAACTTTTTCTAATCTAAACCCAAGCTCCAGCACGCCACTCCACGCCGTGCCAGCAGAGCTTTGCCTCCTCCGGCTAAGCTTTTGGCACTGCCCCAAACCTAAATCGGTCCAATCCGATTTTTTCTTTTCCTTGTGGCTTTTTGCCACCATTTTGCCACATTTCAGCTGTGATTACAGCCACCATTTCCTGGGGCTTTCAGCTCGGGTCTTCGTCACGTTTGTGGGCTCGTGACATCGATTTTAACGCAGCAGGTTTCGGCGATTTTGTCTCTGACAATACACATACATAAAGTTTTAGTATGTAAAAAAAAAGAACTCTCGAATCATTTTTCAGCAGCATACAATGCGGTGTGAAAAATAAACAGCATGTGACAGTTATGGTCACGCGGACCAATCAGATCCAAGATTTCGCGGATACACGCCATTTCGATCGCCATATAACTCCGTTCCTGGTAATACGTCGGATTAACGTTCAACCAGAACCCGACCCGAAATTTTCGGGTCAGATTTTTCTAACCCGAACCCGACCCATTTCGAAGCATTTAATGGACCAATTAAATAATTATATCGATATGATTTTATCATGTTTTTATATAAACGGTTTCATAACGTTTTATAAGCATTTCATAAAAAAAAATCAATCGGCAAATTAAATACATATTCAATTGGCTGTTATTATATTTTTGTATTTCAATCCCGGCAATTACGCAATATCACAAAACGATTGAATTAAATTTTATGAACTATTATTATTAATCATCACTAAAATCAAAAAATCAGCCTATACGTATTGAACGCTTATATGACTCAATTTGTACCCTAAAGGTTTCCTGTTTGCGCCAAGTATCTGTTTCGGGATTACGTCGATTAAAGTCCGATCTGCCTTCATTCGACCTGTGAATGTATAGACATATATATTATGTTTGGATCTATCGCTATATAATTTAATGCCAGAGTTAGATAATTTTAGGTTGATTACTAATATAAAAAATACTCTACCGTTTTTAGACTATTCCTGACTTGTTCGTGATTTTGTCCTCTAAAATTGAATCAAACTTATATATATTATGTACAGTACGATCTTGTATATAAATTAGTTAAAGCATAAAAAATTCCATATTTAAGCTTCAGCTCTTAATAAGAATGCTTTAGTGAGACAACAAAAAAAGATTTTTAAAATGTTTTTATCCTATCGCTCTTATAATGCCCTAAAGCTTTTAATTTTTACTTTAATTTTATTTTTTATTAATATTTTGTTAATAAATCGTTCTAATGTGCCCCTTAAAAGAGGAACCCATAATTTGTCAATTTATGATAGTACATATGCATGCCATGATTCAGTTAGCTGCGGAATAAAATATGAAAAAAGTACTTTCACTGATCCACGATTAAATGAAGTCTTCATAAGTACATTATATACAGAAAGTTACTTTAGAGGTTCTTTATTGTTAGGTTATACTATAAAAAAGCATCATCCAAACCATGCAATGTATTTATTATATTTCCCTAATCAGATATCTGCCTCTTTAATATGTCAACTTGAGGCCGTTGGCTGGATAATGAAAGAAGTAGAACGAATACCTGTACCATGGAATGGAAATTTATCCGATAAATTTGTTGATCAATTTACCAAACTACAAATTTGGTCATTAACTGAGTTCAATTCAATAATTTATATCGATTCGGACGCAATTGTCCTTCAAAAAATAGATAATTTATTTGAAATAGTTAATTCACGTACAAAATTCGAATTTGCAACTGCACCTGATGTTTTAGACAAGCAAATACTTACAAAATTTAATGCAGGTACGTATGTACTTTTAATCCATACATTCACAGACCATTTCTTGATATCATGTCACCGATAACACGTTTTACCGGCAACATACTCCCTACAGGACATTTCCCGACAGCCATTTCACAGACAACTTATTTGTTTGATAGGTCAAAGTTAGAATCAAGTTAAGTTAAATGTTAAAGTTAGTATTAAATCAGGAGAAGCTAGTAGAATTTGATAAAATGGATTATCAGTAATATAAAATGGTAGTCGTGGAAATGTGCTGTTGAAATTAGCTATAGTTGAGGTATTCTTTTGTGCTATGATGTCAAGGAAATGGTCTGTTGGTAATGTCAGGGAAGTGGATTCGGAAATACATACTGGAAACTTTATTTTAGATGATAACAACAAATTAATTTGATTTTGTGTTGTGTAGGATTTTTTGTTTTAAAACCGGATATAAATGTTTATAAAGAAATAATGCGAGTCCATAAAGTGCGTGACAGTTACAATATCAATTATGCAGAACAAAGTTTTCTTAATGAATTTTACAAATATAGGTATTATACATAATGTAAACACTATTCCTATCTTTCTTTTTATAATTATTAAGCCTGTGTCCTAATAATTGGCTTCGTTAATTTAGATATATCCAATTGCCGATAACGTACAACTTCAACCTCGCGTTACTAGAATCTTATCCACATCTTTGGCCAATCTTATTTCCTGATATAAAAGTTATACATTTTACTGTAGAAAAACCATTTTTATCAACATTATCTAATGAAATATTTGACGAACCGTTCGAGGTTTGGAATTCACTTTATAGCGAGATGGAAAAGGTAACGGATTTGGCAAATATAAGGATCGAATGCGATAATATTCATCGTAATGTTAAATTACAAGAATGGATTTAGTCAACACTTTATAGACTCAAATTAATTAAATTAGTCATGTATGGAATTATTTATTATAAGACGCACATATGTTTTTATATATTTTTTTAAGATTTTTATGATATGAGTTTATAAATTATTTGACAAATTTTTCATATTGGGTTGGTATTTGGTTCTAGAATTAAGGTTTAGGAAGCAGAGTATCGCATAATAATTAATTACCCAGTTTTTAAGATAATGCAACATAGGTGGTAAAACACCATATGTGCGTTTTAGTAAAAGTGCAAAAATTCGTGCATTTAGATAAAATTCGTATTCAAACCCCTTTAAATGCATTCAAAAGAAAGATATTATAGCCTAAACTATACCGTATTAATAGTTAATTATTATCCTTAAATCTTTCGATAAATCAGTAAAAATGTATGTAGTCGACTCGAGGCTAGAGATTGGAACCGGTGAATTTCGAGCATTCGTTGATCCCAAACTTTCGAATTTCGAGCATCGGTGAAAAAATTTTGACCGATGTTTGAATGTTTGATGAATTTTTAAA